TTTTTTTTGAAAATACAAACATTAACAATATATACTATGTTTACAACTTTTGTGGACTTTCATCATTCTCAGTAAACGAAAATCTGCGAGGCTTATTTATCTGCCTGCCCGAGCGGGTTGTCAGAACATGGGGTTGAGCTGAGACAGGTTCAGTTATTTTGTCAGGTTCTGCTTGACTATTTGCCTGCTCAGGAGTAATTGGACTAGATGTAGGCATGCTGTTAATTGTATCTTTTATTTTCCAATTTGGCACTTCTGTTGTTCTAGGAGTCTTCAATAAGTGATGTCTGTTTCTTCTATAGTGAATTCCATCTGGTGTTTTAATGACATATGTTCTGGGCATCGGGCCAACTTTGACAACAGATGCAGGTGACCATGGTTCTTTTGGACTCTTTTTATAGTATACTTCATCACCTTCCTTTAAAGGTGATAAGACTTTAGTGTGCTGGTCATAATAGGTTTTTGCTTTACTCACTTCCTCTGCACGGATTTTGTTGTAGTGTTTTATATCTATGACTCTTGGCCTCAACACAGTTTCGCTGACAGGAAGTTTCATTCTCAGTGCTCTAGACATCAGGAGTTGTGCTGGAGAATATCCACAAGGCAAAGGCGCGTTTCTATATTGTAGCATTGCGATGTATGGATCTGAATTATTTTCACGACACTTATTAAAAAGATGTTTAATAGTGCCAACAGCTCTTTCAACAAGACCATTGCTCTTGGGATAGTGTGGACTTGATGTTCTGTGAGTTATGTCCCAACACTTTAGGAATAATCTAAATTCTTCTGAATTGAAGGGTGGACCATTATCAGAAACAATGACTGCAGGAATTCCATGACGCGAAAAGATTGCTTTTAGATTTGTTATGACCAGCTTAGCATTATTGGAACTGACTGAGACTAATTCGAAATATTTAGAAAAATAGTCTATGACTAGCAAATAAGTAATATTATTATAATAAAAAAAATCTATGCCTACTTTTTGCCATGGCAGGTTGACATGCTCATGTGGAATAAGAGGCTCTGCATTGTTTGCTCTTCTGAATTTAATGCAAGCGTGACATTGTTCTACTTTGTTTTTTATATCGACATTTAAGTTTGGCCAATATACAACACTTCTTGCTTGTCTTAGACATTTTTCGATGCCCAAATGACCTTCATGAATAATGTCTAATATTTTGGAACGAAGACTTAAAGGAATTACAAGACGACGACCTTTAAACAATAAACCCTCGATGACATGGAGTTCTTGACGTATATTAAAGTAAGGTTTTAATTGACAGTCAAGCTTGTTTCTTGATGTAGGCCACTCAGTAAGACAATATTTCATAATGATTTGAAGATCTGCATCCATCAGGGTCGCTAGTTTAATCTCTTCTAGACGTTCAGGAGACACTGCAAGATTAGTCATCAATAAGTTGGCATGTATACGGAGATCCTCCTTTAGAGAATCCTCTACGTCGGGTGGATCTACTGGAGCCCTACTTAAAGTATCTGCTATGAACAGGAATTTGCCCGGTTTATATGAAACACTCAGATCATATTGTTGTAGATTCAGCATCATACGTTGTAGACGCACTGGCACTTCAGACAATGGTTTCTTAAATAATGTCTCCAAAGGTTTATGATCAGTTTCCACAATGACCCTATGACCGTAAATATATTGACGAAATCGATTACAACCATACTGAATTGCATACAGCTCTTTTTCTATTTGTGCATAACGTGACTGACACTCTGTCAATGACTTTGATGAATAGGCAATGGGTCTGTTATTTTGTAGTATGACTGCACCAACTGCCGCCTTTGAGCTATCCACAGACAATGTTAAAGGCTGGTTGGGTTGGAAATAAGTTAAGACTGGTGCATTGCTTATTACTTCCTTTAATAATTGAAACTCTGACTGCTGTTTCTCTGACCAATGAAACGCTATATTCTTTTTTAACAATAGACGTAGGTTGAAGGTTTTATCAGCTAAGTTATCAATGTAAGATCCCAAATAATTTACCATTCCCAAAAAACGTTTAAGTTCCGTTATATCCTTAGGTGCTGGTAGGTGACATATTGCACTAACTTTAGCTGGATCAGGACACATTCCATTTTGGCTAAAAATGTGACCTAAATACTTGACTTCTTTCATTAGAAAATGACACTTATCTTTATTAAACTTTAAATTAATTTGACGAGCTTTTTCAAGGACTTTTTGCAGTATCTCGTTATGAGATTCTAATGTTTGACTATAAATCAGTATATCATCAAGATATATCATGATTCCTTGTATGTCTGAGAACCAATCAGTCATGATTTTGTGGAAAATTTCTGGAGCACTTGACACACCATAAGGAAGACGTTTAAATCTAAATCTACCAAAAGGAGTATTAAATGTAGTTAACTTCGAACTGTTTTCACTCAGTTTTATCATCCAGAATCCAGACTGTGCATCTAAAGTTGAAAAATACTTAGCACCAGCTAATTTTGACCTCAGTTCTTCTACAGTTGGTAATGGATAATGACACCTCTTTATTGCTCTATTCAGATTTCTTGGATCTAGACAGACTCGCAATGACTTATCTTTCTTTTCAACAATAACAACTGAATTTACCCATTCGGTAGGCTCACTTACTTTTGCTATAACATCTAAAGACTGCATACGTTCCAGTTCTTTTTTAAACCTTTCGTTTAACATAAACGGTATTTTCCTAGGCGGTTCTATCACTGGTACTATATCTTTGTAAACGGATATTTCATATTCTCCTGGTAGACAACCAAGACCCTCAAATACATCTTTATACTGCGACAGGACTGACTCATGATTATTGATATTAAATACTCTTTTGACTAAACCTAGTCTTTGGATTGTAGGTAGCCCTATAATGGTCTGACTATCAGTATTAGTAATTACAAAATGAATACTAGCTGACAAATTATCATTGATTACACCATTGACTAACACCACTCCCAAAACTGGTATATCATTTCCTGAGAATGACGTAAGCCTTACAGCCGTAGGTTGTATTTTTCTAGCAATTTTTAAACTTTTATAATTTCTTATTGACATTACATTAGCCTGAGCACCCGTATCCAAATTACATTCTAACACTTTGTTATTAATCTTAAGTTTTAGGATCCACGGCTCACTTAACCAATTGTTATTACTATTAATAGATCTAATGACAAAGAGATCCGACTTATTACTATCATGGTCGCGATCATCACTAACATTAACATATTTTACTTGTCTAGTACGACAACATTTCGCATAATGACCTACTTTGTTACAAAGCTTGCAGACAGCATTAATAGCCGGACATTTATTTCGGTGTACCTGTCCACAACGCGTACATAATAATTGATTGTCCTGACCTGTTTGACGAAACCTTGAGAACTTTGACGATAACGACTCTCGATGACCACCTAAGACTGTCCTCCTTCCACTACTTGTTGCTTTATTTTGTAGATTTCCACGACGAGTGCTGTTGTGATTGAACTTTTCGACTTTGAGTATCTGTGCATCACTGTTCTTTTCAATCTGCTCCGCCTGACGATGAGTAATTTCGATGCTTTTGGCTATGCTGATGGCCTTCGTTAAGGTTAAGCCTTCTTCCTGAAGTAGCCTAGCTCTGATGACTTTATTATTTGACGACAAACCTACAATAAACATGTCTCGGACCAAACTCTCTCGGAGATTATCGAACTCGCACGTTAGGCTTAGGTTCTTTAGTGCAGTTACGAAGTCTTCGATTGACTCGTCTGGTTTTTGTCTTCTGGTCAAAAAATTATATCTCTCAATCGTGAGATTAGTTTTAGGTTTGCAATGAGACTCAAATTTTTTTACTACATCCAAATATTGACAATTGTCCATATCCAAGTTAAAGGAATTGAAAACCTGTAACGCGTCTTCTCCCACAAAACGTAAAAATATGGCGACTTTACGGGAATCAGTTTCATTTTCTAAATTACTAGCGCGCAAAAATATTTTAAATTTCTGATACCAGATTGACCAGTTATGAGCTAAATTTCCTTCTAATAATAACGATGGAACTGGATTGCCGGATAGTTCCTGTTGACCACTTAAACGGGATAAAGTTAAAGATGGCTGACCTGCGTTACTGACCGGTGAACTCATTATTTCGAGCTGCTGCTAGTAGGAAAACGACGACGACGACTATAATTCTGACACCATGTTATATTATATGTTGTATAATGCACAAGACTGACAAAACTTAAATTATTATTTATTACTACTAAAGAGGAGACACTCGTTATGGACTGTATGACAGACGAAAGACGACTTTTGTTTTTTGTTGGCCGCTATGTGTCGCCACCAGTACATATCGTAACACTTTCCGGGAAGTCTTTTATGGAAAACCAACTGCTATTTGGGTGTTACTAGGTAAATAAATCAGGAAAAACTTTACGTGACCAGCCCATGGACCAGGACGATGCACGAACACTCATTTGGCTATTGGTGTTCGAGGGTTTTTCTACTTGATCACTACTGAGCACTTATAACAACTAAGAAAGTATCATTCAGAAATAAAAAAAACCGAAGTTATCATACTTGACTGGATATATATATATATATATATACATACATCTAAATTCAGCAAATCATGTGTACCCTGAAATCTATATATTGTATGTAAATGAGAACTGCGAAGTAAATTTACTTATTTACTTGAAATTTAGCGTTCGAACATTGAAGCGTTCTAAGTTAGAGTCGTTAGAAGTACGAGGAACCAATATAATCTAAATATTACTACATACACAACAAAATTGTGCATAAGGGATTAAAGACCAATTAGCTCTCCTATCGGCTCCGTATACATAGCTTTCTATGAAAGGCTCAAATATCTCAATTTTCACTGTAATAGTAATTTTAATAGTTTAAAACATAATTCTAAATGATATTTCAGAAAACCCTTCTAGTATTTTGGATTGGAAGCATTATATTGATAATTTTGGGAATATTTGGATTGCACGATTATAAAAAAGAAACGTCACCAAACGAAACTGTAGTATATTTATATCATACATTGTCTCCATTTGCTCTTACTCTCGCTACAACATGGATTTCTGTAGCATGCGTTACAGGATATGGAGGTAAGTAAACGAGTTTCGAAGCAATTTAAAATAAAATTCTCTAATTCTTTAAGAAATCTATTCTCAGATTTCTTTCTTAATTCATATTAAAAGCACGTTTATCTTACAGGAATCTGTAATCGTGTTTTTTCATCGCACATGTTTTGTATATTGGATAAATTAATTATTTGGATCTATATTCTCCATGTATTAGTCATGATTTATATTTTGGGTCACTTACGAAAAGCTGTTTACGCATCAGCAACAACTTTGGTAAGATTCTCTTTTAATTTAACAGTAAAACTGAATAATAAAAATTAAGAAATGATACTGAAAATTTGATAACAAATCCGAAGAGTTACTTTGTGCTAATGCGCTGTAGCATAGTTTAGGATGTTGGCGTCAGTACTCGCGGAAAGAGAAATGGCAAGTGTTGCGTATGAAGGACATGGTATTATAGAGTTAACGGCATTATCAAATTCGAAGAAGCGCGTAATTAATTAGAAAGTGAAATTTATGGTAGGCACATAGAAATTGCTATGATTTTGGGTGTAATGAAACGGATAATTGATCAGACATATCAAAAGAAAATCAACGGAAATAAATGCTGTTTATTATTGTAAGACTTTCAGTGATATCTGCTTTGGAATATCTCAAAAGTTTCACAAATTCTTTACGTCAGGTATCATTTTTTTCGAAGAAAATATTTGTCTTCAAATTACTCAATAAACAATTGCAAAAATTGCAGATATCTATTAGCTGCCATAAGGTCTAATTTATCCCAGAGACTCTCATTTGTGTTAATTTCTATGTAGTTTTAAACAAGGTTTGATAAGTGAAAACGAAACCGAATGCCTAAAAATTAGAGATAGGCGTGAAACTAAATTAAGAAAGTGGAAATATTTTCCTGTAATATATTATCATGAGTGAGTACATTTTATTAAGTTACCCGACCCGGGAGACTTACATATTAAACACCCCTCATATTAGTTACACCAGAGGTGAGATACCTGAAGCCTATAGTCTATAAAAAGAATTTCGGGAACTTTCGTGTCTTCTAATGCACAGAAATAAGTCTATTCAAAAGTATTTTTTGGCGTTTTGCACGAAAGCGTTAGATCGAGATTTACATGTAAGCTATTTAACATTTAGATTATAAATTGTTTTAAAACGCGAGATATTGTTATTTAATAAATATCAAAATCTATTTTTTTAATTAATGCAAATTTTTTCTCTGTTAGTGGATGCTGTTCCTAATGGTGATGTGCCTAACTTTGATAGCGTCGTTACTCATGCATTTATTTGTGGAAACACCTTTAAATTATCTTATTAATAAAATAATTGATTTTTTCTGTAAGAAACAAAGATTGGATATAAAGGAAGACTTCGGAATTGATAATTTGCGTGAAAATCAAAACAATGTCAATAATGAAGTCTAATCATATTGATTTTCTTCATATGATTAACATATTTGAAGATATAATGACTCCATATATGATTAAACTGATTTGTAGCAATATTGGCTAAATGTATTTCTATATTCCATGTATGCAAATGTATTCAATAATATAGGTATATTTGTATTTAATTCAAATAAAATTAAACTGATTTATAATAACACTTGTGTGTGAATGCGAGAGTAGACAGTCATTTATTCGAAAATCTATTCACTTTATCACATTCTTATATTTTTCCACTTGATAAATAATCTCTATGTAATATTTCAGATATCAAATACACCAAAAGTTGTTGTTTTGTGTGGAAAAAGGAAGTAGAATTTCCCGTAGAAAGTTCTTATCTAATTTATCTGATGGGCATCTGCCTCTTGTGTCCGGTCAGATGATCAGAATCTTACGATATGATTGGTGAGAACTAAGAATAAATAGGGGGAAAATCCACGAGCTAGGGGCAGTCTACGGAAAAAAATATTTGTCACATAATTGACAGGCAGTCAATAGAAATTCGACATTGCCATATTGGACGGTAGTCAAATATGAAAGGAATTTGCCATAATAGACACGCAGTCCTCCATAATATGAAGGTGTCAAAAACGACAGGCAGTCTTTGAGAATCAGACCCTCCCATACCAATTAATGCAAAGAAGATAGTCTTGCTCCATCTCTGCAACATTCATCCCACCTTCTTCAATTTTGATCGATAGAGGTATTATCATTATTTTTCTAACGATTAATAAACGCTCTCTCTTGTATTTAGAGGTATAATTTATTGTAGATAGGCTCAATTTACGTATCTCTTTGTTTTATTTTACTCATTATATCCTTTCTATTATTGGTAAATATCAGCCCAATAATAATAATCAATAATCAACAGATTTCTAACATTAATCAATTAATAATGAAAAATTTCTAAATGTAGACAACGTAAAACTAATTATCAAATATATATAGTGTCACTTCGTAAAGCATTATGCACCACGTTATAATTAGATGGAGACGGCAAATATGTTTATCAAATTGTTAATTGTGAGATAAAGCAACGCAACACATAGGCGATATGCCAAGGATAAAGTTTCCCGATACTGCTTTCATGAGTAACTGTTCCATATTTATGTTTTAGACTGTTAAATAAAATCTGTAAAACTCCACACGACAGTCATTATAAAACTAGAAGTAGATAGACGTAATTTCAAGTTTTAAAGTTTCTTATTTACATCAAAATCAATCTTTACTCTGTTTTAGTAGGTACGTAAAATTGCAGTTTGCTTCTAAGATTAGATTACAAGGTAATAAAAGTTATAATATACTTACCGTAAAGTTTATAAGAATTCTTCCTGTTAATTATCTGAACATACCTTAAAAAAAGGCAAATTTTTCACTGCATCTTTTCTCAGTTCGCATAAGAAGATAAATGTCCAAAGACTGTTGAGTAATTTCTTCTTCTGGAATCGGTGCAGTAGGCCAGATAAATTCGAGAATGTCTTGTCTAAAGTCTAACAACCTGTCCGTCCACATTTTCAGAATTGAAAGGTTTCATTTAGCGTGAAGTGTGCTTTATTCATATAAGCAAGACGGACACTACAGTCATAGCCATTGTCACTCGCCACTTGTGATGGAGGAAATATCGAATACTAGCTATTGTAATTCACACATACAGTATCAGTTTCTTTACCAAGGTCTGTAAACACAAGGTCATGACAGCAATGTTCCATATTGGGTCCTTAGTTTCAAGTTTACGGTATACATTTCATAATATGTACTGTACGTGCAGTAAACTACACGTTTCTTCTGGTTAGAGCCACAAAATTCTTATTATAATTTCGAATAAAGTATCTGTTCATTTAGAAATTACTCTGATATACAATTAAAAGTAATAACTTAAATATGTTTCAAAATAACAAAGTTCGTATAATAAAGTACAAGGATAAATCTATTTAAGTTTCGAAAATGCAAAATTAGAGAAAACATTTGAAGATATTTTTTTAAAATATAAATATATTTAGTTTTCTAAATTCACGTGCATTTTTCATTACCGAAACTGAAAATGGAAGCTCAGAGCAAACATTTTTATAAATAAAAATTAAGATAAAAAGAAAACCATTCTCACAAACTTTAAAAGTTTTATTTATCGTAATATGTAAAGTGTTTGCAAGAGATAATATGAATGTTCCTAAATGAGGAAACTTATCCATATAAATTTAATTTAATTTTTTGATAGAAAATTAAATTAGTACACTGTATTTATAAAATTGTATTAAACAATAGAAAATACCAATAGAGAGAAATATCAACTCCAACTTTATTTATGTTCATTTCATAATAAAATGATTATTTAACCACAATGATTCATTAGAACATGCAATTTGGCAATAACATTACTCTCAATTATTATGAAATATTAATTTAATTAAATGACTGAAAGTTTTAATTCAATTACTGTATTTTATTTTAAATTTTCAAGTATATTTTCAGTTTACACACATATAATATTTATTTTTTTTAATACGTTATATAATGTTGTTATACAACCTGTCAGAAAAGTAAAACTTTCCCACAAATAGTCCATAGACTGGTATTGATCTGAGAACTATGTTTTAATGTAATTTAAACACGGTTAATTAAAAATGCATACTGAAAACATTTTAGAATAAGTGTTAAATATTAAAACAGCTTATATACTGAATTTTTGTATTCATCTAGCAATATAAAATATTTAAAAGAAATCTCTATTAGTAACCTGATACTGTATTTTACAATTTCACTAAAACTGTTAAGTCGATCGGAAATTATTTACAAAGGAATCTGGCATTAGAGGTGGTTAGTCTCTCCATCTTGTGAGAAATTTTAACATCAAACTAAGTTAAATTATTGTAATTACTGTAATAATTTTTACCTTCCATAAACAATTTTACTTAATGTAAAATTCGAATCGATACTTATTTAATCATGTTATGAATCAAACTTTTCTTTGGATTATTCAGAATTATTAATTTATAAAAAAATTTTCATTATTGTTTAATCGTTTAGTTAACACGAGATGGCGAGACCATCGTCGCCCACAGCCAAATTCATTCGGAATTAACTATAAATTAGCTTTAAAGTAGCCAAATAATATAAAATATAACTGTTTCGGCTTTACTTAAATTTTTATTATCAATTAATTTGCTTTTATGCGTTTTAAGTTTTATTCAGCGTTTAACGAACACAAAGTCTATGAGTGTTGAGAAGTATAGCATAAATTTAAAATAAAATGTAGGGAAAGGAGACACTTGGGTCAATCGAAACAATAGTAAACTGTACATTCTGTTGTGTAAATAATTAGACAAATAAGAATAATTAAATTAATAAAAATAAATGTTATTTAAGTATATACCGAGAATATCATGTTTACAATAAATGCTATATTTTACTATTATTCTCTATATATATAGATGATTCAGATTTTTTTAGAGACAGATTACCTGTTATTGAGAAACAATAGTGATTGTCAGTAAATAATTAAACAAAGAAACAGCTCCTAACTCCTGTAGTTTCATTAATATAAATTCTTAAAAGGTGAAAGTACTCGTGCCTAAATAAATAAACTAATAAATACATTAAAATTTAATTACAGATAATCTTCTACTCGCATTAAATTGTTTAAATTTCAAAGCGTGTAAAATGAAATTATTGAATATTTATTATTAATTTATTACTTGTATTGATCGAATGGATTGTCGAGGTAGTTATGGCCTATCAATTTGGGGAAACCAAAATCGAATACGGGCTCATAGTTACAAGCATTTTTCGGCAGTGGTCTGTATCAAATACGTCGGGGGCTGTCTCTCACCACTCGCTTGTCCCCATTGCTGGCCTGGACAAACGAAGAGGAAGATTAAAATTCTTTTTTAGTGTTTTCAGGACAGAACATTAACTATATTAATCGTACCATAATATAATGAATATAATGAACTAATATAATGAATACATGTACTAAACGTATAGTGTAGAACCTGTTCACAACGAAACCTCAATAAGAATGGAACCGGCTTAATCAGAAAACATTCTTTAGAATGGAGCAAGTTTTTGTTTTAAAAGAAAACACCTATTTAAAACGAAACCTGCTAAATAGAAAAAAATATTCTGTACCGTGCATTTCCGATCTACACAAACTTTACTGTACTTATTTTATACGTAAGATATACGTTAGAGGAATGAATACATAAGTCAAAATATACAAATGACATCTGTATTTAAAAATAAATAAATGTATTTTTGCTAATTTAGTGCTAAATTATATTTTTGTCCCAAATGCTGTTGTAAAGAAAATTATATAATAAAATATGAAGTATAATTATATAGACAATACATTAAAAGCATAAGGATGAGTTCATTTTGTTATCTGTTTAAGTCCTTCTTACAATGAAACTATTCCCTAATGACTAATCTTGTCTTAAGAACTGAATTGTTTCCATTAGAAGGCACTGTCACTAGTACCTCAAATAAAATAACAATTTAAGTTAATGATATTTTAATAGGAAATTAATCTTTCTTATTGATCACTATATGAGTCATTTAATTTATTGCAGAGTTTAGTATAGAACTATCGCTTTATTAGAGAGATAAAAAGATTTAGAAGCTATTTTTTCTTATTAAATTTCTCTTTTCTTAAAGAATAAAACTATTGACAAAATTTAATGCTGCCGGCGAGACCTTCGACTGACAAAAATATAATTCTTTTTAACACAAACAGAGCTCAACGTGTGATTTGCAATTGTAGTAAAAATTGGAATGGTTACGGTAAATCTTATATCAATTGTGGCAATTTTTCTCTCAATGAAATTTCAGAAAGAATGAGAAGATAGTGATTTATTCTATTCTTATTCTGACAATACTTACTTAACATGATTTCTTACTTAATATATATAAAATGCCGTTATAAATCATCTGAATTGTTTCGAAATACTAAAAAAATTTCCAAAATATCAAAACTTTAGTTAAATAAATTGTTTTTAAACTTCGAGAAATGATTTTATATATTTACTGTACACAATTTGTAATATAAGGCTTTA